GAGAAGGTGAGTTTTGAAAAGGGAATAGGGATGAGTAGATCCAAGTCGGGTTTTAACTGTCTGAATTTTGTTAACCCTCTACGCTACAAAACAGGATATGTTGATTAGGATCCTATAGGAATAGGTCACTTATTCTTGGGCTTTGCACAAGCCGCCTTCTTGGGCTTTGCAGCCGCCTTCTTTGGCTTTGCACAAGCCGCCTTCTTGGGCTTTGCAGCCGCCTTCTTTGGCTTCGCACAAGCCGCCTTCTTTGGCTTCGCACAGGTCGTCGCCTTGGCCCTCGCAGGACTTTTTAGCTTCACAAACCTTTTTCTTTTTCCACAGACATTGGCTTGTGCTTTGCGGATGCTCGCTGTGTCTTTACGCGCGGTGTGGCCTTACGCTTCCTGCCTCCCATGTCACATCCTCTATCGGTTTGCGGAGCGTCACTCTCATATTCCTCGCTCGATGTGGGGTAAAAATATGTATCGGACCTACCCATGTTTACTAAGAAATTTGTTCTACTATCTGAAAGGAAAAATACGTTGATTTAAACTGAAAAATACCACTGGATAAGTTTTCTTCGTGAGAACTTGCGACAAAATGTGGACGTGTACTGAGTTATGGGAAGCAAGTTAAATAGTAAATATCTGATCGGGCTCACAAGGGTTGCTATGGTTTAAAAGTTGTATGGGACTGTCACAAAACAATTTCTTAAATGAAATTTGTAAATTGTTTAAACAATTTGAGGTGTTTATTCGTCGAAATACGGACGTGTACTGAGTTATTGGAAGCAAGTTGAATAGAAAATACCTGATCGGGCTCACGAGGGTTGCTATGTTTTAAAAATTGTATGGGACTGTCACAAAACAATGTCTTACCGATTATAAAATTAAATGAAATTTATGAATTCTTTGAAAAATTTGAGGTGTTTATTCGTCGAAATACGGACGTGTACTGAGTTATTGGAAGCAAGTTAAATAGTAAATACCTGATCGGGCTCACAAGGGTTGCTATGTTTAAAAAATTTTATGGGACTGTCACAAAACAATGTCTTACCGATTATAAAATTAAATGAAATTTATGAATTCTTTGAAAAATTGAGGTGTTTATTCGTCGAAATACGGACGTGTACTGAGTTATTGGAAGCAAGTTAAATAGTAAATACCTGATCGGGCTCACAAGGGTTGCTATGTTTAAAAAATTTTATGGGACTGTCACAAAACAATGTCTTACCGATTATAAAATTAAATGAAATTTATGAATTGTTAAAAAAATTGAGGTGTTTATTCGTCGAAATACGGACGTGTACTGAGCTTGGAAAGCAAGTTAAATAGTAAATACCTGATCGGGCTCACAAGGGTTGCTATGTTTAAAAAATTTTATGGGACTGTCACAAAACAATGTCTTACCGATTATAAAATTAAATGAAATTTATGAATTGTTAAAAAAATTGAGGTGTTTATTCGTCGAAATACGGACGTGTACTGAGCTTGGAAAGCAAGTTAAATAGTAAATACCTGATCGGGCTCACAAGGGTTGCTATGTTTAAAAAATTTTATGGGACTGTCACAAAACAATGTCTTACCGATTATAAAATTAAATGAAATTTATGAATTCTTTGAAAAATTGAGGTGTTTATTCGTCGAAATACGGACGTGTACTGAGTTATTGGAAGCAAGTTAAATAGTAAATACCTGATCGGGCTCACAAGGGTTGCTATGTTTAAAAAATTTTATGGGACTGTCACAAAACAATGTCTTACCGATTATAAAATTAAATGAAATTTATGAATTGTTAAAAAAATTGAGGTGTTTATTCGTCGAAATACGGACGTGTACTGAGCTTGGAAAGCAAGTTAAATAGTAAATACCTGATCGGGCTCACAAGGGTTGCTATGTTTAAACAATTTTATGGGACTGTCACAAAACAATGTCTTACCGATTATAAAATTAAATGAAATTTATGAATTGTTAAAAAAATTGAGGTGTTTATTCGTCGAAATACGGACGTGTACTGAGCTTGGAAAGCAAGTTAAATAGTAAATACCTGATCGGGCTCACAAGGGTTGCTATGTTAAAAAAATTGTAAGCAACAGTCTCAAAACAAGGATTGCTTTGATTTAAACAATTTTATAAGACTTGAACCTCTCTCAGAGGCAGGTCATGTGAAATGAGTTTGAAGCGTGGGCGTTGAGTTAGTTTCAGCATGCCACTTTTCCGCTGATCACATGTCGCCTTACTCTGGACGGGGTTTCCATCGATCACTCTGCCACGGTTAAGTACTTTGGGCTTACCCTAGACAGGCGACTTACCTGGAAGAAGCATTTAGCATATTGGAGCTGCTGTGCTCCCACTCGGCAAAAAGCTTGGAAGATGAGATGGCTGATTCGGTCGGGCAGTGGACTATCGCTGACGGCGAAATCAAAACTTTTTAAGGCTATTTTGACGCCTACCCTTTCTTGGGGAATCCAATTTTGGGGCACTGCCTGTAACACCTCCATAAAACTATAAGAATAGTGCCCAGCCAAAATTTTATGACATGATGAACGCCCCTTACTATATACGAAACTCCACTAAAATTTAATTGAAAAATATATTTATTGTTAAATAATTCAATTCTGCTCTTCCATTTTATTTCAGTGAGGGAACGCGCATGGATAACGTACTCAAGAACATTGGGAAGCGGAAGTATGCCTTCAATCGAACTCAGGTCTCTTTTCTGCCGGCCATGTACAGGCCACCAGTTGGTAGCTACGGCAAGGCGCAGACTTAAGGGCTCCACTCGGGATCCCCATCCGAATCCAAATGTCCAAATGTAGAGCGGTCCGGTCGATCCAATGGCGGTCAAGTACTTAATGGACATGGGACAACTTAACACAGAGATATGTATATCAGCGAAGCGAAGCAAAACAAAACGTATAAAACTGTGCCAAAAATACATACAAAACAATTTAACCAATTTTGCGCGAGGCAAGCAAAACATAGAAACAAGTGAGAGGAAATAATAGGTAACTAATTAAATTAGCACATTGAAGGAGTCACTTCCGGACAATTGTTAACGCATCACACAATTCCAATTCCAATTCGGTAGTATGACCCGCTATATCCCCCTTCCCATATTTATTTAGGCTATATCCACGTAGTTGTAGTTTGCAAAAGAGGCAACCGTACTCTAGCGACTCATTTACTTCCAGTGAATAAAAAACAAACTTGTTAACCACTATTACCCACAAACCTAACAGCATTGCATCCCTAATAGTCCTGAACCCGTCCGGTGCCCAGACGCTGCTTCCGGATCTCGTGTCTTCAGCCACGAGGGTACATCGCGAATGGGATGGGCGTTGGGGAAGCGCAACGACTGCTCCGGTCCTTCGAAGGGGTGTGTTTTGGCCAGCTTCCGTTCCAGGTACTCCTTGTTGACCTGCTTTTGGTCGCGGTGCTTGTCCATGTACAGATTGAAGGGCTGTTTCAGCGGGAAGAACTTCTGGTCGGCCAGATACGGCTTGGGGAAGTCGTACTCGTAGACTGGCTCCTTGCTCTCTGCGCGATAGATGCCAAATTATTACTGTGAGATCTGACGAGATCGCCACCGCTTAACTCACTTAAGACATCATGGTACAAATGGGTCAGCGACTCATCCCAGTTGGTCTGATAGAAGGCCAGGCCAGCCGGCGTCAGCTGCTCTTGGTGCTGGCGATAGAAGTCAAGGGTACTAAAGGTGCGCTTCTCCAGGTTGTTGTAGTCGGCATCGGCCAGCTGATAGGAGCCGAGATCCAGACGCGCCTCCTGCTTGTAGAGCACGAACACCATTCGCTGGTAGCCCACGCCGCGGGGCGGAAATGGCGGTAGATACTCGGCGAGCACCTGGCCATCGCCCACCTTGCCGTTGGGTATGTTGGCACTGCAAAAGACGGTTCAGGAATGGCGTCCTCTTCAGAAAAAACTGAACTTACATGAACCAATGCAGGCATTCCGCCGTCGCGTTTGTGTAGTGCGCATCGGGATTGGTGGCCAGCAGGGTCCAGTAAGTGTCCTGGCCGGCGGGTTGCCCGGTGATGGGGTCCAGCAGGCCATCGAAGCTGATCTGCGGCGCCTTGGCCGCCTCCGCCGGCTTGATCACGTTGCCATTGTAGACGGGGGCCAGACTGTCACCGTCCACCTCGTAGCTTATGCTGAGCGGCACCCGGGGCACAAAGTAAGCGCTGCCGAAGAGGTGCTCGAATATGCCGTAGTGATCTGCAAGCAGACGCAGATCGTGCTGGCCCGTGGTCTTTACGTAGGTCCGCTGCACCTTGTCCAGGTCAATGATCACTGCGGGCAGGAGATAGGGGAACAAAATAAGCGATTGTGGGTACACCTTCCCATGATCCCTGGCTCCACTCACACTTGTTGGTGCGCGCCAGCTGCTCCAGTTCCTTGCTGGACCGCTGCGCCTTCAGGTGCTCCAGTCGCGCCTTTAGTTGCGCCGATCGCGACTCCTTCAGCTGCGGGAAGCCAATGTTGATGCGGGCCGCCACCTCTGGATCAGTGGCGGTGACCCTGGAGCAGTGTCGAGTGGTGGTCCGCGAGTTCCAGTTGCCCTACGCGCTTGGTACGATGAGAAGGTGAGTTTTGAAAAGGGAATAGGGATGAGTAGATCCAAGTCGGGTTTTAACTGTCTGAATTTTGTTAACCCTCTACGCTACAAAACAGGATATGTTGATTAGGATCCTATAGGAATAGGTCACTTCTTCTTGGGCTTTGCACAAGCCGCCTTCTTGGGCTTTGCAGCCGCCTTCTTTGGCTTTGCACAAGCCGCCTTCTTGGGCTTTGCAGCCGCCTTCTTTGGCTTCGCACAAGCCGCCTTCTTTGGCTTCGCACAGGTCGTCGCCTTGGCCCTCGCAGGACTTTTTAGCTTCACAAACCTTTTTCTTTTTCCACAGACATTGGCTTGTGCTTTGCGGATGCTCGCTGTGTCTTTACGCGCGGTGTGGCCTTACGCTTCCTGCCTCCCATGTCACATCCTCTATCGGTTTGCGGAGCGTCACTCTCATATTCCTCGCTCGATGTGGGGTAAAAATATGTATCGGACCTACCCATGTTTACTAAGAAATTTGTTCTACTATCTGAAAGGAAAAATACGTTGATTTAAACTGAAAAATACCACTGGATAAGTTTTCTTCGTGAGAACTTGCGACAAAATGTGGACGTGTACTGAGTTATGGGAAGCAAGTTAAATAGTAAATATCTGATCGGGCTCACAAGGGTTGCTATGGTTTAAAAGTTGTATGGGACTGTCACAAAACAATTTCTTAAATGAAATTTGTAAATTGTTTAAACAATTTGAGGTGTTTATTCGTCGAAATACGGACGTGTACTGAGTTATTGGAAGCAAGTTGAATAGAAAATACCTGATCGGGCTCACGAGGGTTGCTATGTTTTAAAAATTGTATGGGACTGTCACAAAACAATGTCTTACCGATTATACAATTAAATGAAATTTATGAATTGTTTAAAAAAATTGAGGTGTTTATTCGTCGAAATACGGACGTGTACTGAGTTATTGGAAGCAAGTTAAATAGAAAATAGCTGATCGGGCTCACGAGGGTTGCTATGTTTTAAAAATTTTATGGGACTGTCACAAAACAATGTCTTACCGATTATAAAATTAAATGAAATTTATGAATTGTTTAAAAAAATTGAGGTGTTTATTCGTCGAAATACGGACGTGTACTGAGTTATTGGAAGCAAGTTAAATAGAAAATAGCTGATCGGGCTCACGAGGGTTGCTATGTTTTAAAAGTTGTATGGGACTGTCACAAAACAATTTCTTAAATGAAATTTGTAAATTGTTTAAACAATTTGAGGTGTTTATTCGTCGAAATACGGACGTGTACTGAGTTATTGGAAGCAAGTTGAATAGAAAATACCTGATCGGGCTCACGAGGGTTGCTATGTTTTAAAAATTGTATGGGACTGTCACAAAACAATGTCTTACCGATTATAAAATTAAATGAAATTTATGAATTCTTTGAAAAATTTGAGGTGTTTATTCGTCGAAATACGGACGTGTACTGAGTTATTGGAAGCAAGTTAAATAGAAAATAGCTGATCGGGCTCACGAGGGTTGCTATGTTTTAAAAATTTTATGGGACTGTCACAAAACAATGTCTTGCCGATTATAAAATTAAATGAAATTTATGAATTGTTTAAAAAAATTGAGGTGTTTATTCGTCGAAATACGGACGTGTACTGAGTTATTGGAAGCAAGTTAAATAGAAAATAGCTGATCGGGCTCACGAGGGTTGCTATGTTTTAAAAGTTGTATGGGACTGTCACAAAACAATTTCTTAAATGAAATTTGTAAATTGTTTAAACAATTTGAGGTGTTTATTCGTCGAAATACGGACGTGTACTGAGTTATTGGAAGCAAGTTAAATAGTAAATATCTGATCGGGCTCACAAGGGTTGCTATGGTTTAAAAGTTGTATGGGACTGTCACAAAACAATTTCTTAAATGAAATTTGTAAATTGTTTAAACAATTTGAGGTGTTTATTCGTCGAAATACGGACGTGTACTGAGTTATTGGAAGCAAGTTGAATAGAAAATACCTGATCGGGCTCACGAGGGTTGCTATGTTTTAAAAATTGTATGGGACTGTCACAAAACAATGTCTTACCGATTATAAAATTAAATGAAATTTATAAATTCTTTGAAAAATTTGAGGTGTTTATTCGTCGAAATACGGACGTGTACTGAGCTTGGAAAGCAAGTTAAATAGTAAATACCTGATCGGGCTCACAAGGGTTGCTATGTTTTAAAAATTGTATGGGACTGGCACAAAACAATGTCTTACCGATTATAAAATTAAATGAAATTTATGAATTGTTAAAAAAATTGAGGTGTTTATTCGTCGAAATACGGACGTGTACTGAGTTATTGGAAGCAAGTTAAATAGTAAATACCTGATCGGGCTCACAAGGGTTGCTATGTTTTAAAAATTGTATGGGACTGTCACAAAACAATGTCTTACCGATTATAAAATTAAATGAAATTTATAAATTCTTTGAAAAATTTGAGGTGTTTATTCGTCGAAATACGGACGTGTACTGAGCTTGGAAAGCAAGTTAAATAGTAAATACCTGATCGGGCTCACAAGGGTTGCTATGTTTTAAAAATTGTATGGGACTGGCACAAAACAATGTCTTACCGATTATAAAATTAAATGAAATTTATGAATTGTTAAAAAATTGAGGTGTTTATTCGTCGAAATACGGACGTGTACTGAGTTATTGGAAGCAAGTTAAATAGTAAATACCTGATCGGGCTCACAAGGGTTGCTATGTTTAAAAAATTTTATGGGACTGTCACAAAACAATGTCTTACCGATTATAAAATTAAATGAAATTTATGAATTGTTAAAAAAATTGAGGTGTTTATTCGTCGAAATACGGACGTGTACTGAGCTTGGAAAGCAAGTTAAATAGTAAATACCTGATCGGGCTCACAAGGGTTGCTATGTTTAAAAAATTTTATGGGACTGTCACAAAACAATGTCTTACCGATTATAAAATTAAATGAAATTTATGAATTGTTAAAAAAATTGAGGTGTTTATTCGTCGAAATACGGACGTGTACTGAGCTTGGAAAGCAAGTTAAATAGTAAATACCTGATCGGGCTCACAAGGGTTGCTATGTTTTAAAAATTGTATGGGACTGGCACAAAACAATGTCTTACCGATTATAAAATTAAATGAAATTTATGAATTGTTAAAAAAATTGAGGTGTTTATTCGTCGAAATACGGACGTGTACTGAGTTATTGGAAGCAAGTTAAATAGTAAATACCTGATCGGGCTCACAAGGGTTGCTATGTTTAAAAAATTTTATGGGACTGTCACAAAACAATGTCTTACCGATTATAAAATTAAATGAAATTTATGAATTCTTTGAAAAATTGAGGTGTTTATTCGTCGAAATACGGACGTGTACTGAGTTATTGGAAGCAAGTTAAATAGTAAATACCTGATCGGGCTCACAAGGGTTGCTATGTTTAAAAAATTTTATGGGACTGTCACAAAACAATGTCTTACCGATTATAAAATTAAATGAAATTTATGAATTGTTAAAAAATTGAGGTGTTTATTCGTCGAAATACGGACGTGTACTGAGCTTGGAAAGCAAGTTAAATAGTAAATACCTGATCGGGCTCACAAGGGTTGCTATGTTTAAAAAATTTTATGGGACTGTCACAAAACAATGTCTTACCGATTATAAAATTAAATGAAATTTATGAATTGTTAAAAAAATTGAGGTGTTTATTCGTCGAAATACGGACGTGTACTGAGCTTGGAAAGCAAGTGAAATAGTAAATACCTGATCGGGCTCACAAGGGTTGCTATGTTTAAAAAATTTTATGGGACTGTCACAAAACAATGTCTTACCGATTATAAAATTAAATGAAATTTATGAATTCTTTGAAAAATTGAGGTGTTTATTCGTCGAAATACGGACGTGTACTGAGTTATTGGAAGCAAGTTAAATAGTAAATACCTGATCGGGCTCACAAGGGTTGCTATGTTTAAAAATTTAAATGGGACTGTCACAAAACAATGTCTTACCGATTATAAAATTAAATGAAATTTATGAATTGTTAAAAAAATTGAGGTGTTTATTCGTCGAAATACGGACGTGTACTGAGCTTGGAAAGCAAGTTAAATAGTAAATACCTGATCGGGCTCACAAGGGTTGCTATGTTTAAAAAATTTTATGGGACTGTCACAAAACAATGTCTTACCGATTATAAAATTAAATGAAATTTATGAATTGTTAAAAAAATTGAGGTGTTTATTCGTCGAAATACGGACGTGTACTGAGCTTGGAAAGCAAGTTAAATAGTAAATACCTGATCGGGCTCACAAGGGTTGCTATGTTAAAAAAATTGTAAGCAACAGTCTCAAAACAAGGATTGCTTTGATTTAAACAATTTTATAAGACTTGAACCTCTCTCAGAGGCAGGTCATGTGAAATGAGTTTGAAGCGTGGGCGTTGAGTTAGTTTCAGCATGCCACTTTTCCGCTGATCACATGTCGCCTTACTCTGGACGGGGTTTCCATCGATCACTCTGCCACGGTTAAGTACTTTGGGCTTACCCTAGACAGGCGACTTACCTGGAAGAAGCATTTAGCATATTGGAGCTGCTGTGCTCCCACTCGGCAAAAAGCTTGGAAGATGAGATGGCTGATTCGGTCGGGCAGTGGACTATCGCTGACGGCGAAATCAAAACTTTTTAAGGCTATTTTGACGCCTACCCTTTCTTGGGGAATCCAATTTTGGGGCACTGCCTGTAACACCTCCATAAAACTATAAGAATAGTGCCCAGCCAAAATTTTATGACATGATGAACGCCCCTTACTATATACGAAACTCCACTAAAATTTAATTGAAAAATATATTTATTGTTAAATAATTCAATTCTGCTCTTCCATTTTATTTCAGTGAGGGAACGCGCATGGATAACGTACTCAAGAACATTGGGAAGCGGAAGTATGCCTTCAATCGAACTCAGGTCTCTTTTCTGCCGGCCATGTACAGGCCACCAGTTGGTAGCTACGGCAAGGCGCAGACTTAAGGGCTCCACTCGGGATCCCCATCCGAATCCAAATGTCCAAATGTAGAGCGGTCCGGTCGATCCAATGGCGGTCAAGTACTTAATGGACATGGGACAACTTAACACAGAGATATGTATATCAGCGAAGCGAAGCAAAACAAAACGTATAAAACTGTGCCAAAAATACATACAAAACAATTTAACCAATTTTGCGCGAGGCAAGCAAAACATAGAAACAAGTGAGAGGAAATAATAGGTAACTAATTAAATTAGCACATTGAAGGAGTCACTTCCGGACAATTGTTAACGCATCACACAATTCCAATTCCAATTCGGTAGTATGACCCGCTATATCCCCCTTCCCATATTTATTTAGGCTATATCCACGTAGTTGTAGTTTGCAAAAGAGGCAACCGTACTCTAGCGACTCATTTACTTCCAGTGAATAAAAAACAAACTTGTTAACCACTATTACCCACAAACCTAACAGCATTGCATCCCTAATAGTCCTGAACCCGTCCGGTGCCCAGACGCTGCTTCCGGATCTCGTGTCTTCAGCCACGAGGGTACATCGCGAATGGGATGGGCGTTGGGGAAGCGCAACGACTGCTCCGGTCCTTCGAAGGGGTGTGTTTTGGCCAGCTTCCGTTCCAGGTACTCCTTGTTGACCTGCTTTTGGTCGCGGTGCTTGTCCATGTACAGATTGAAGGGCTGTTTCAGCGGGAAGAACTTCTGGTCGGCCAGATACGGCTTGGGGAAGTCGTACTCGTAGACTGGCTCCTTGCTCTCTGCGCGATAGATGCCAAATTATTACTGTGAGATCTGACGAGATCGCCACCGCTTAACTCACTTAAGACATCATGGTACAAATGGGTCAGCGACTCATCCCAGTTGGTCTGATAGAAGGCCAGGCCAGCCGGCGTCAGCTGCTCTTGGTGCTGGCGATAGAAGTCAAGGGTACTAAAGGTGCGCTTCTCCAGGTTGTTGTAGTCGGCATCGGCCAGCTGATAGGAGCCGAGATCCAGACGCGCCTCCTGCTTGTAGAGCACGAACACCATTCGCTGGTAGCCCACGCCGCGGGGCGGAAATGGCGGTAGATACTCGGCGAGCACCTGGCCATCGCCCACCTTGCCGTTGGGTATGTTGGCACTGCAAAAGACGGTTCAGGAATGGCGTCCTCTTCAGAAAAAAACTGAACTTACATGAACCAATGCAGGCATTCCGCCGTCGCGTTTGTGTAGTGCGCATCGGGATTGGTGGCCAGCAGGGTCCAGTAAGTGTCCTGGCCGGCGGCTTGCCCGGTGATGGGGTCCAGCAGGCCATCGAAGCTGATCTGCGGCGCCTTGGCCGCCTCCGCCGGCTTGATCACGTTGCCATTGTAGACGGGGGCCAGACTGTCACCGTCCACCTCGTAGCTTATGCTGAGCGGCACCCGGGGCACAAAGTAAGCGCTGCCGAAGAGGTGCTCGAATATGCCGTAGTGATCTGCAAGCAGACGCAGATCGTGCTGGCCCGTGGTCTTTACGTAGGTCCGCTGCACCTTGTCCAGGTCAATGATCACTGCGGGCAGGAGATAGGGGAACAAAATAAGCGATTGTGGGTACACCTTCCCATGATCCCTGGCTCCACTCACACTTGTTGGTGCGCGCCAGCTGCTCCAGTTCCTTGCTGGACCGCTGCGCCTTCAGGTGCTCCAGTCGCGCCTTTAGTTGCGCCGATCGCGACTCCTTCAGCTGCGGGAAGCCAATGTTGATGCGGGCCGCCACCTCTGGATCAGTGGCGGTCTCCTCTGCGCCAAGGATCGCACCGGCATGGCGGTGACCCTGGAGCAGTGTCGAGTGGTGGTCCGCGAGTTCCAGTTGCCCTACGCGCTTGGTACGATGAGAAGGTGAGTTTTGAAAAGGGAATAGGGATGAGTAGATCCAAGTCGGGTTTTAACTGTCTGAATTTTGTTAACCCTCTACGCTACAAAACAGGATATGTTGATTAGGATCCTATAGGAATAGGTCACTTCTTCTTGGGCTTTGCACAAGCCGCCTTCTTGGGCTTTGCAGCCGCCTTCTTTGGCTTTGCACAAGCCGCCTTCTTGGGCTTTGCAGCCGCCTTCTTTGGCTTCGCACAAGCCGCCTTCTTTGGCTTCGCACAAGCCGCCTTCTTTGGCTTCGCACAGGTCGTCGCCTTGGCCCTCGCAGGACTTTTTAGCTTCACAAACCTTTTTCTTTTTTCCACAGACATTGGCTTGTGCTTTGCGGATGCTCGCTGTGTCTTTACGCGCGGTGTGGCCTTACGCTTCCTGCCTCCCATGTCACATCCTCTATCGGTTTGCGGAGCGTCACTCTCATATTCCTCGCTCGATGTGGGGTAAAAATATGTATCGGACCTACCCATGTTTACTAAGAAATTTGTTCTACTATCTGAAAGGAAAAATACGTTGATTTAAACTGAAAAATACCACTGGATAAGTTTTCTTCGTGAGAACTTGCGACAAAATGTGGACGTGTACTGAGTTATGGGAAGCAAGTTAAATAGTAAATATCTGATCGGGCTCACAAGGGTTGCTATGGTTTAAAAGTTGTATGGGACTGTCACAAAACAATTTCTTAAATGAAATTTGTAAATTGTTTAAACAATTTGAGGTGTTTATTCGTCGAAATACGGACGTGTACTGAGTTATTGGAAGCAAGTTGAATAGAAAATACCTGATCGGGCTCACGAGGGTTGCTATGTTTTAAAAATTGTATGGGACTGTCACAAAACAATGTCTTACCGATTATACAATTAAATGAAATTTATGAATTGTTTAAAAAAATTGAGGTGTTTATTCGTCGAAATACGGACGTGTACTGAGTTATTGGAAGCAAGTTAAATAGAAAATAGCTGATCGGGCTCACGAGGGTTGCTATGTTTTAAAAATTGTATGGGACTGTCACAAAACAATGTCTTACCGATTATAAAATTAAATGAAATTTATGAATTCTTTGAAAAATTTGAGGTGTTTATTCGTCGAAATACGGACGTGTACTGAGTTATTGGAAGCAAGTTAAATAGAAAATACCTGATCGGGCTCACAAGGGTTGCTATGTTTTAAAAATTTTATGGGACTGTCACAAAACAATGTCTTACCGATTATAAAATTAAATGAAATTTATGAATTGTTTAAAAAAATTGAGGTGTTTATTCGTCGAAATACGGACGTGTACTGAGTTATTGGAAGCAAGTTAAATAGAAAATAGCTGATCGGGCTCACAAGGGTTGCTATGTTTTAAAAATTGTATGGGACTGTCACAAAACAATGTCTTACCGATTATAAAATTAAATGAAATTTATGAATTCTTTGAAAAATTGAGGTGTTTATTCGTCGAAATACGGACGTGTACTGAGTTATTGGAAGCAAGTTAAATAGAAAATAGCTGATCGGGCTCACGAGGGTTGCTATGTTTTAAAAATTGTATGGGACTGTCACAAAACAATGTCTTACCGATTATAAAATTAAATGAAATTTATGAATTCTTTGAAAAATTTGAGGTGTTTATTCGTCGAAATACGGACGTGTACTGAGTTATTGGAAGCAAGTTAAATAGAAAATAGCTGATCGGGCTCACAAGGGTTGCTATGTTTTAAAAATTGTATGGGACTGTCACAAAACAATGTCTTACCGATTATAAAATTAAATGAAATTTATGAATTCTTTGAAAAATTGAGGTGTTTATTCGTCGAAATACGGACGTGTACTGAGCTTGGAAAGCAAGTTAAATAGTAAATACCTGATCGGGCTCACAAGGGTTGCTATGTTTTAAAAATTTTATGGGACTGTTACAAAACAGTGTCTTACCGATTATATAATAACATGAAATTTATAAATTCTTTGAAAAATTTGAGGTGTTTATTCGTCGAAATACGGACGTGTACTGAGCTTGGAAAGCAAGTTAAATAGTAAATACCTGATCGGGCTCACAAGGGTTGCTATGTTTTAAAAATTGTATGGGACTGTCACAAAACAATGTCTTACCGATTAAAAAATTAAATGAAATTTATGAATTGTTAAAAAAATTGAGGTGTTTATTCGTCGAAATACGGACGTGTACTGAGCTTGGAAAGCAAGTTAAATAGTAAATACCTGATCGGGCTCACAAGGGTTGCTATGTTAAAAAAATTGTAAGCAACAGTCTCAAAACAAGGATTGCTTTGATTTAAACAATTTTATAAGACTTGAACCTCTCTCAGAGGCAGGTCATGTGAAATGAGTTTGAAGCGTGGGCGTTGAGTTAGTTTCAGCATGCCACTTTTCCGCTGATCACATGTCGTCTTACTCTGGACGGGGTTTCCATCGATCACTCTGCCACGGTTAAGTACTTTGGGCTTACCCTAGACAGGCGACTTACCTGGAAGAAGCATTTAGCATATTGGAGCTGCTGTGCTCCCACTCGGCAAAAAGCTTGGAAGATGAGATGGCTGATTCGGTCGGGCAGTGGACTATCGCTGACGGCGAAATCAAAACTTTTAAGGCTATTTTGACGCCTACCCTTTCTTGGGGAATCCCATTTTGGGGCACTGCCTGTAACACCTCCATAAAACTATAAGAATAGTGCCCAGCCAAAATTTTATGACATGATGAACGCCCCTTACTATATACGAAACTCCACTAAAATTTAATTGAAAAATATATTTATTGTTAAATAATTCAATTCTGCTCTTCCATTTTATTTCAGTGAGGGAACGCGCATGGATAACGTACTCAAGAACATTGGGAAGCGGAAGTATGCCTTCAATCGAACTCAGGTCTCTTTTCTGCCGGCCATGTACAGGCCACCAGTTGGTAGCTACGGCAAGGCGCAGACTTAAGGGCTCCACTCGGGATCCCCATCCGAATCCAAATGTCCAAATGTAGAGCGGTCCGGTCGATCCAATGGCGGTCAAGTACTGAATGGACATGGGACAACTTAACACAGAGATATGTATATCAGCGAAGCGAAGCAAAACAAAACGTATAAAACTGTGCCAAAAATACATACAAAACAATTTAACCAATTTTGCGCGAGGCAAGCAAAACATAGAAACAAGTGAGAGGAAATAATAGGTAACTAATTAAATTAGCACATTGAAGGAGTCACTTCCGGACAATTGTTAACGCATCACACAATTCCAATTCCAATTCGGTAGTATGACCCGCTATATCCCCCTTCCCATATTTATTTAGGCTATATCCACGTAGTTGTAGTTTGCAAAAGAGGCAACCGTACTCTAGCGACTCATTTACTTCCAGTGAATAAAAAACAAACTTGTTAACCACTATTACCCACAAACCTAACAGCATTGCATCCCTAATAGTCCTGAACCCGTCCGGTGCCCAGACGCTGCTTCCGGATCTCGTGTCTTCAGCCACGAGGGTACATCGCGAATGGGATGGGCGTTGGGGAAGCGCAACGACTGCTCCGGTCCTTCGAAGGGGTGTGTTTTGGCCAGCTTCCGTTCCAGGTACTCCTTGTTGACCTGCTTTTGGTCGCGGTGCTTGTCCATGTACAGATTGAAGGGCTGTTTCAGCGGGAAGAACTTCTGGTCGGCCAGATACGGCTTGGGGAAGTCGTACTCGTAGACTGGCTCCTTGCTCTCTGCGCGATAGATGCCAAATTATTACTGTGAGATCTGACGAGATCGCCACCGCTTAACTCACTTAAGACATCATGGTACAAATGGGTCAGCGACTCATCCCAGTTGGTCTGATAGAAGGCCAGGCCAGCCGGCGTCAGCTGCTCTTGGTGCTGGCGATAGAAGTCAAGGGTACTAAAGGTGCGCTTCTCCAGGTTGTTGTAGTCGGCATCGGCCAGCTGATAGGAGCCGAGATCCAGACGCGCCTCCTGCTTGTAGAGCACGAACACCATTCGCTGGTAGCCCACGCCGCGGGGCGGAAATGGCGGTAGATACTCGGCGAGCACCTGGCCATCGCCCACCTTGCCGTTGGGTATGTTGGCACTGCAAAAGACGGTTCAGGAATGGCGTCCTCTTCAGAAAAAAACTGAACTTACATGAACCAATGCAGGCATTCCGCCGTCGCGTTTGTGTAGTGCGCATCGGGATTGGTGGCCAGCAGGGTCCAGTAAGTGTCCTGGCCGGCGGCTTGCCCGGTGATGGGGTCCAGCAGGCCATCGAAGCTGATCTGCGGCGCCTTGGCCGCCTCCGCCGGCTTGATCACGTTGCCATTGTAGACGGGGGCCAGACTGTCACCGTCCACCTCGTAGCTTATGCTGAGCGGCACCCGGGGCACAAAGTAAGCGCTGCCGAAGAGGTGCTCGAATATGCCGTAGTGATCTGCAAGCAGACGCAGATCGTGCTGGCCCGTGGTCTTTACGTAGGTCCGCTGCACCTTGTCCAGGTCAATGATCACTGCGGGCAGGAGATAGGGGAACAAAATAAGCGATTGTGGGTACACCTTCCCATGATCCCTGGCTCCACTCACACTTGTTGGTGCGCGCCAGCTGCTCCAGTTCCTTGCTGGACCGCTGCGCCTTCAGGTGCTCCAGTCGCGCCTTTAGTTGCGCCGATCGCGACTCCTTCAGCTGCGGGAAGCCAATGTTGATGCGGGCCGCCACCTCTGGATCAGTGGCGGTCTCCTCTGCGCCAAGGATCGCACCGGCATGGCGGTGACCCTGGAGCAGTGTCGAGTGGTGGTCCGCGAGTTCCAGTTGCCCTACGCGCTTGGTACGATGAGAAGGTGAGTTTTGAAAAGGGAATAGGGATGAGTAGATCCAAGTCGGGTTTTAACTGTCTGAATTTTGTTAACCCTCTACGCTACAAAACAGGATATGTTGATTAGGATCCTATAGGAATAGGTCACTTATTCTTGGGCTTTGCACAAGCCGCCTTCTTGGGCTTTGCAGCCGCCTTCTTTGGCTTTGCACAAGCCGCCTTCTTGGGCTTTGCAGCCGCCTTCTTTGGCTTCGCACAGGTCGTCGCCTTGGCCCTCGCAGGACTTTTTAGCTTCACAAACCTTTTTCTTTTTTCCACAGACATTGGCTTGTGCTTTGCGGATGCTCGCGGTGTGGCCTTACGCTTCCTGCCTCCCATGTCACATCCTCTATCGGTTTGCGGAGCGTCACTCTCATATTCCTCGCTCGATGTGGGGTAAAAATATGTATCGGACCTACCCATGTTTACTAAGAAATTTGTTCTACTATCTGAAAGGAAAAATACGTTAGATTTAAACTGAAAAATACCACTGGATAAGTTTTCTTCGTGAGAACTTGCGACAAAATGTGGACGTGTACTGAGTTATGGGAAGCAAGATAAATAGTAAATATCTGATCGGGCTCACAAGGGTTGCTATGGTTTAAAAGTTGTATGGGACTGTCACAAAACAATTTCTTAAATGAAATTTGTAAATTGTTTAAACAATTTGAGGTGTTTATTCGTCGAAATACGGACGTGTACCGAGTTATTGGAAGCAAGTTGAATAGAAAATACCTGATCGGGCTCACGAGGGTTGCTATGTTTTAAAAATTGTATGGGACTGTCACAAAACAATGTCTTACCGATTATAAAATTAAATGAAATTTATGAATTGTTAAAAAAAATTGAGGTGTTTATTCGTCGAAATACGGACGTGTACTGAGTTACTGGAAGCAAGTTAAATAGAAAATAGCTGATCGGGCTCACAAGGGTTGCTATGTTTTAAAAATTGTATGGGACTGTCACAAAACAATGTCTTACCGATTATAAAATTAAATGAAATTTATGAATTCTTTGAAAAATTGAGGTGTTTATTCGTCGAAATACGGACGTGTACTGAGTTATTGGAAGCAAGTTAAATAGAAAATAGCTGATCGGGCTCACAAGGGTTGCTATGTTTTAAAAATTGTTGGGACTGTCACAAAACAATGTCTTACCGATTATAAAATTAAATGAAATTTATGAATTGTTTAAAAAAAATTGAGGTGTTTATTCGTCGAAATACGGACGTGTACTGAGTTATTGGAAGCAAGTTGAATAGAAAATACCTGATCGGGCTCACAAGGGTTGCTATGTTTTAAAAATTGTATGGGACTGTCACAAAACAATGTCTTACCGATTATAAAATTAAATGAAATTTATGAATTCTTTGAAAAATTGAGGTGTTTATTCGTCGAAATACGGACGTGTACTGAGTTATTGGAAGCAAGTTAAATAGAAAATAGCTGATCGGGCTCACAAGGGTTGCTATGTTTTAAAAATTTTATGGGACTGTCACAAAACAATGTCTTACCGATTATACAATTAAATGAAATTTATGAATTCTTTAAAAAATTAAGGTGTTTATTCGTCGAAATACGGACGTGTACTGAGATTGGGAAGCCAGTTAAATAGAAAATACCTGATCGGGCTCACAAGGGTTGCTATGTTTTAAAAATTGTATGGGACTGTCACAAAACAATGTCTTACCGATTATAAAATTAAATGAAATTTATGAATTGTTTAAAAAAATTGAGGTGTTTATTCGTCGAAATACGGACGTGTACTGAGTTATTGGAAGCAAGTTAAATAGAAAATAGCTGATCGGGCTCACAAGGGTTGCTATGTTTTAAAAATTGTATGGGACTGTCACAAAACAATGTCTTACCGATTATAAAATTAAATGAAATTTATGAATTGTTTAAAAAAATTGAGGTGTTTATTCGTCGAAATACGGACGTGTACTGAGTTATTGGAAGCAAGTTAAATAGAAAATAGCTGATCGGGCTCACGAGGGTTGCTATGTTTTAAAAATTGTATGGGACTGTCACAAAACAATGTCTTACCGATTATAAAATTAAATGAAATTTATGAATTGTTTAAAAAAATTGAGGTGTTTATTCGTCGAAATACGGACGTGTACTGAGTTATTGGAAGCAAGTTAAATAGAAAATAGCTGATCGGGCTCACGAGGGTTGCTATGTTTTAAAAATTTTATGGGACTGTCACAAAACAATGTCTTACCGAGTATACAATTAAATGAAATTTATGAATTCTTTGAAAAATTGAGGTGTTTATTCGTCGAAATACGGACGTGTACTGAGTTATTGGAAGCAAGTTAAATAGAAAATAGCTGAT